GGCGTTTCCGTGACAGCCGGCGGCTTGAAGCGAAGACAGGGCGTGCTCGACGCTGCTTCACAGACTTATTTTACGGGTTCCGAAAGCAACGTTAGACATTCTGGGGGCGTACGCGGAGGTCTCGAATTAGATTGTGGAAAGCTGTGGCGGAGGAAAACACTGGGAGCGGGTCCTGAGCTATGTGTCTACTTTCTCTGGAGCACCGTCCAGCTACAGCAGCGGCAAGGTTTGCCATTGGGCTGTGTGTGTTGTACTTGAAGTCGACCCACCTCCTTCGTGGAGAACACCACCGTCCCACACTTCGGACACGCATGGGCGTGTTTGCGGCCTTGCACGAGGCCGTCGGAAACGCGGAACTGGTTGCCGCACACTTGGCGATGGTCGATCTGGCCGGTGTGGATGGAACTCTGCGTCTGTCGGGCGCAGAATGGGCAAACGTATGTGTAGGAAGGTTTCCCTTCCAATGCAACGGTGCCGGGCGAGGTGGGCGCTGGCTTAGCGGTTGTGTGGGCGGGGGGTGTCTGGCTGCCCTTCTGCGTCTGCGGGAACGCAAGCGCAGACGTCGCCAACGAAGCAATCTGAGCACGAACCTCGGCGACCAGACCGCGGCGGTGTTCCTCCGCCAAGAGTTTACGCGCGCGAGCCAGGTGGGAGCAAACTTCCGGCGATGCCACGAGCCTCCGGCGACGGTCGAGGTCGGACCCCCTGGCCGTGGCATCGGAGGGGAGCGCCGGGAGTACCGCGCGGAGACGTCCCTGCTCGGCGCGGGCGCGGAGGCGCGCTAGTCTATGATTGGTGCGGCCGGCGTATCGACATGCGACTCGCAAGGTGTTGCAGCCGTTACAAATTTGATGGCCATCTTGGCCTGCAGCTCGTTTGGCTACCCACGCGCTAAACTGGGCGAGTTCTTTGCGCATGTTACACGTGGTGCACTGCCACAAGCCGCGCTCCTTACGCGCACACTCGCGACAAATTCTGCGGTCGACGTTGCGCGCCTTCCAGGCGGCGGGGCCGAAGGCTGCTTCAGGTTTGCGCACAGCGCACCGAACGCACGGCTTCCGCTCCTCGCACGTCTGGCACACGCGGTAAAAGGTGCACTGCGGTCGGTGATACTTCGGCGGAAAATTGGCTTCGGCGTGCCAGACTTTGCAGATACAGCACTGCCACGGCGCGCCGGCGTCGGCATAGCGTCGGCCGCACTCACGACAAACTCGGTCCGCCTCATCGCGTTTCCATTGCCCTACCGTAAAGGCCCCTTTTTGTTTGCGTTGCTGGCAAACGCAGCACTGCCGCTCTTCGCAGTATTTGTTCAACAGCGCGGTCCAATCTATCTTTTCGCCGCGCAGATGTCGCAGCAAGAGCGTCCGACCAACGCCGATTCCGCGCTGGAAGGGTTTCGCGTCGAATGGACGAAACAGCAGGAGGTTCTGTCGACCGGGGACACGCGTGAAAGCAACATACGCTGTAAAGGGGTTCCCGCCGAGGCCGATGTTCAAGTCGGTGATAACGCCCTCTACAATGGTTTGCCCCTGGGCAACGTGCGCCGTGATTGCAAAGGCGGGAGCGAGCGGAAATTGCGTGCGCCAAACTCGCAACTGCGGGTATTTCTTTTGGCGATCCAGGAACCACACTCGTTTGCATGGCGCCACCGGATACACATTGGCGTCTGGCATCCCGCTAATGTGCCATGTCGTGGCAGTCTGAAACTGGATGTACACGACTTCGGGCAATCTGTTCCAGAGAGCCACACCTTCGCCAACTACCTCCTCTGCAGGTGACGACCACCCGACCACGACTCCTCGGCAGCCTTTCAAAATACCACGTTGCCGATCTAAGTGATCTGTCGCGCGCACGGGCAAGCCGAGACACAAAGGTAAGAGGCCGTACAAACCCCCACACTCTTGGTCGTGTCTTTGCAGCCACTGCAACTTTTCCGCGGCGAGGTCCGTCTTGTCTTGCAAGACAGTCGCAGAGGCCACGTCCCGGGCCACGGCGATGTGCGCGACAACCTTGTGCGCTGCCGCCCAGCAGAGAGCACGACGTTTGTTCACGTGGAATTTTACGTCATTCGTGGCAAAGATGGCGGTGGCGTTTGCAAAAGCTTCCTGGAACCGTGGATCCGCTGGTCCGTGCGCGACGAGCTGCCGGGAGACACGCTCCTCGGCGCACCGCGCGCACTCATGCCGACGAATCGTGTCAGGGTTCTGACCCACCAGTGCTGCGCACGCACGTGCACCGCAGGCCGGGCGTCCCTGAGTCCAGCTTCCCGGGACCGAGGTCACGTTCCCGTGCAGGAAAGCGTGGCTATCCTCCGAGAGCTCTCCGTGCCGCAGTTGGTTTTGTACTTCTGTCAGCCATGTGTCGCCTGTCCGTTCACAGCGGACGAGCTCAGTCACCCCTTGCATGCCTACAGCTGGCCCGCCCCAGAGCAGCGTTTGACCGTGCAGGGCGGTCGCTTGCTTCGTTTTTTTCTTGCCTGTCAGCAGGTCCCATGGAACATCTCCGAGGAAGGTTCCTTTCGGTGGTGGCAGCTGAAACAAATCCCCGGACAGAATCACATTGAGGCCACCAAAAGGTTCTACGCTGCCATCTGCGGCGAACTTGCCCAGGCTGAGGTCGCGCATGATTTCGCGACAGCGATGCTCCAATTGCGCCAGTAGTTCGGCACTGACCATGCTGAATTCATCCAGAAGTAACCATCGCCATTGCAGGGTTTGTCGCGTGCGCTCTAGCACGCGTAGCTGCTTCTGGTTCCCCTCCCCCGCCCAGTCTAAGCCCAAGGCATGATGTATGGTGTCTCCATCTTAAGAGTTCGGCCATGACTGCTTGAAAGCTGACGACTTGAAAGTGTATTCCATGTGTCCAACCCAACCTCTGTTCGAACAACTCCTTCCGCACCATTCTTAGCGTATGCGATTTCCCGGTGCCGGGGCCACCGTGAGTCTTCCTTCATTGCCAGTTCGGTAAGCCACGTTTGCACGGCTTCCTTGGTCTTCTCGGGCGTGAGCTGCACGGTGGCGGACTGGTCATCCGGCGCGGGCATGGGGCGTTGCTTGGTTGCGTGGATACGCGCTGCTTTGCGCACGGCGTCGGGCGACACGTCGGCGTACGCGTGCGGTGTTGCGCGCGTCGACGCGTCCGCGGCGACGGGCGTCGACCACAGGGCGTCGGCTTGCTGCACCGCTGCGTCGACACGATGGGCGCGGTCGTCGTTGTGGGCTGGACCGCTGCGGTGCGAGCGCGCGGGCAGTTGGGTGCGAAGCGCCCCTGGTAGATGCGCCGGAGTCAACACAAACGGCTCGTCCGCCCCGTCGTCGTCGCTATTCCCGTCTGCTTCGGCGCTGGGTCGCACGCGATACACGGAAAGAAAGTTGCCGACGTGTCGCTTCGTTTCGGCGCACGGTAACCGACGCAGCCAGCGCCGTAAGGAGGCTTCCCAGGACTCATTCTCGCCGCGCAAGTGGCCTAGAAAAGGAATGCTGTCCGTCGCTTGTGTGGCGTTCAGCGTCCAAGCTCGAAAATACACTTGGGTCAACCGCGCGTTGCCCTCTGCGTTCTCAGCGAAGCCCTTGGGGACGGGGCTCTCGGCAAAGTGTGGGCACTTCGGCCGTCGACGGCGTTGCAGATACCAATTGTGCCGCAAGCTTGCCGTGGCGCCCGCGGCGGAGAAAAGAATCCGATCTGAGCTTGGGTCCAAGCAAACTGTGTAGTGGGCACCGGGTCGCAAGCGTGCCGGCGCGTCGACCGGGGTGGCCAATAACTTGTGATGGCCCGCGGGTGTGAGCCGCACGTCCCAGGCAGTGACGGGCGCTGCGTCCCACTCGGCGCGGCAGTAAGGAACACGCGTTGGCACGATCTCCCAATACATTGTCAACTCATATGGGGATAACCACCAGACTTCCGACTGTAGGGGGCGGTGTCCATAGGCTTCGGCCGGGACGCTTTCGCGCCAGTGTTGCGCTCCTGTTCCAGGCGCAGCCTTCGTACGGGTATACTTCTGGGGTGGCACCTGCCGGTCGGCGTCTCGATCCAAGGCCTCCAAGAGAGCAACGTACGCTTTGCCAGGAAAGCTCACGAAACCTGCGGTTGAGATTCGCTCCGCTGCGACGATTTGTCCCTCGCGATGGTTTGCCCGCAAGTTGCAACATTCGACTTGTCCCCGAACCACTCCTTTACAGTAGGCGTCGCTGAGGAAACGGGTTGCGTGTCTTTTGCCTATGGTTTGCACGTCTTTCTCCGCTACGGCTGCGTGGAGCGCCATGTGGCCTTTCTGGAACTCTTTGATTTCGTGAAATCCCATCGGCTGATTCTTGGAGCAGTAGTCGCTACAGTAGCCTGTTTGTGCATCCTGCGCTCTTCGTGCCCCCAACGCAATTGCGCGGCGCTCCTCGGGTGTCATGGTGCTACCGCAGTCTGCACACGCGTACGGAAGCCGGTACGGTACTTGTACGTCGTTGTTGCCCCCACGCATGCTCGCTAAGATGGCCGGATGACATGGGTTCAGGAACGCGTGCCCATATGGCCCATGCAACGCGCCCAAGCGATTTCGTCGGCCTGCGTTCGCGAAGCCGTGACGCTGTAATTCACACGGGCACAAAATTTTCGGATGCGAGCAAAGCCAGTCTAGGCGGGGAAAGTCATGTTTACAGACGCCTTTTCGGTCTTCCTTTTGGCAGCCTTTGAGTGGCATACGCTCACCGGTCTCCAGAGACACTGGGTGGATGTGGTGTTGCTTCAAAGTTTGCAACTGTACGACATCTTCTTCCATGTACTCTTGTTGCCATTGCTTTGCTTCAGCGGTGTCCTTGCATGGGCGCGCAGTGCGCCACTGGTAGCTGGGGACGTGGGTCATGATGCGGTCTTCTGCGTGCTCTGGCCATGTCTTCTCCGCGGCCGCGACAGCGGCGTCGGTCGCAGCTGGCGTCTGACCGCTGTACGTACTGTGTGCCACGTGGCTGTTGTACGCGCAGTACTCGTGGCGCAACGCGGCGGCAGGGGGCGGAGCCTTTTCCCCGGGGTCGGCGGCAGGGGGCGGAGCCCTTACAATATATATATGATACATATATAGCCATATAGCTCGTAGCACACCTTGCTGTAAGGCTCTGCTGAGGAGTGGACTGGCTGGGGGAATAATGAAGATCCTAAGGTGCAGGGGACGAGCGTTGTCGAACAGTCAAGCCCATACACGCACACTACTCCAATCACACAGGAGTATTTGCCCATATGCGGGCAAGGCTCATGCTCCATTGCGCGGAAGGAAGCAGGCAGCATTTGGATGTCCTCGGCACCCCCACACACACAAACCCTGACAACATTTGAAGGTTAGATTAAGATTCGATGGTCTCTCAACTATGCATGTTGAGGGGTGAAAACGGTTCCAGCCGCTAACCAACTGCTCCAGCTGCGAGTGGCAGCACCACCCCTAGTGCATTTCCACGAATCCCCCCTCTGATATAGTTCAGGCAGTGAACTGCTCAAACAACAATGCAGCACAAGCTAGGTTTACCAAGTGCACCTCCCCAAGCTGTCCGAGAGGCTGCACCCTTCAGCATGGAGAGAACAAACAGGGCGGCCAGCGTGGCATCTCTTCTCGAGCTCTCCTGCCTGCTAGTTCCAAATTCGATCAAAGTGCAGCAGTAGCTGCTAGCTCTACAATACTCACTCAGTCACTCATTCCCTCGCCCTCTCGCTCACTTGACCTGCGTCACATTACAATTCCTCAAGTTGATGGGGGGATGTGCACTTTATGTTTCAACCTCATGCATTCTCGAGCCCACACTTGAAACCGGAAACAAAAACTTCCCAGGAAGTCGCAAGCCTCGTTGCTTCGTCAACCTCCGCATGCTGTGACGGGGCTGCTAAGTGCATCACTGACGAAACCTGACAGAGCACAGAGCAACAAGTCCATGCAGCAACTGTTAGGAACTGCCAGGGGGGTTGTTGTAAGAATCCTTGTCTTGTGTCAGACCGCAACTCCCACTCCCTCTCTAGGAGCTTAGCGTTTTCCACTGCTCCGGAATGTCACCAGAAGGTTCCTAGTTCAGGATGCAGCATACTTTTGAATGAACTGCAACGGCTCAGTGTGGCGTCCTCATCATAATTAGTGGGCCTTATGCCCTACCAAACGTGCTGAGACACCTGCTGTCTAGCTCTCCGGTTTCACGACAAGAATCCTCGCCGTGTTGTCAAGGGCCTTCAGGATATCATCTCTCCGTTTAATGTGACCTGGATATAGCAATATTATATAGATCCGGAAGCTGCTTGTTTCACTACAACCAACAGTCATACAGGTGAGCTGTGGTACCATGGGTAGGGCTCCAGTGGTCAACCCACTCAATGTCCAACGACGTCTACAAGGGGCATTGCCGAAGAGCCTGACTTCTTGCGAAGCCAAGCTTCATGGTGGAAGTACACATCGTAGAACCTACAGATCCAAGTTCAAAACTCCAACCAGCACTGTTCCAACTTGCTGCTGCATCTTGATATCTGCGAGCACAGCATCTGGATTTTGATCAAAGATGTTCTTGATTCGGCCCCAAGCTGAAGCATCCAGTGATAAAGGTAGCCATGATGTGTCGTCCCTTGGGCTTTGAAACTTCACAGGCCTCATTGGCTCTGCTGGCTTGCTGTTCGTCAACCCTCAGGAACTTCGAGAGGATTGATGTTGTCACCATTCTCTTCGACCTTTGGTCCTCGCGCATCATACGAAAATTGTGCAACTTGAGCTCCTTACAGTCTATGTCAGCCTTATCTACGTCATAACATTGCAGCTTTGATGTCCCTGGTGCGGGGACGTAGCAATAATGCAGAGTTGGATTATTTGGCCGGGGCCATTCATGGACTCCTTTACGCTCTCCGCAGTGGTTGTTATGTTGAGTGGGTGCAATCTAAAAATAATTGGTCTGATGGTATTAGTCGCCAATGATTACATGACCAGTGGTATCAGGCCCATGGCTTCCGTCCACATCAGGTATCAGTACCCTCGATCCTTCTACACCTGCCATACCCCATTATTAGTCGTGTCTTCCTGTACCGCGGGAGGGTATGTACCTTGTTGGTACGGGTCACAGTGGCAGGGTGAACATTCTGAGAAGTGTGGAGGTGCCGAGACCTGCATGCTTCATCGAGAACCGCGTGGAAGTCAAGATGGCTTGTTGTCCAATTAGTCACCAACTCAACCATGGCTGTGTGAAGCTCCACTTCACGGCGGATCCGGGCCATCGTTGCAATCTCGTGTAAGCATAGGAGAACGGTCGTGCCCTCTCATCCAACACATCATCTCCTCTGCCAGCATGCGCCATTACCAAAGTCACGTTCAGGACATCGGCATCAAGCTCATTAATCATGTCACCGCTAGCTCCCACTCCATTGACTGAATTTATCTGGTAACCTGGCTGAATCTTCT